CCGGACTAGTAGGAAGGTGTGTCTTGTCTCAATGGTCATAAAAGTGAAAGTTTGCTAGCAGCCCATTAGAAAATGACTGGGGGTTGCCAGCTTGTTTTGAAGGTATAAATCCCTTGCACTTGTCTGTCAGTTGCCACCCTCCTTGCGTTCTTAGTACGCCTCCAAAAGGGATTCTTGGAAATACTTGGGGTGGTGAGGCTGTGCGGATTTTAGTGCATTAACCTTCTGAAACACAATAGTTTGTTCTTCACGAACTTTAAAAACCGTTAGTTGGACAAACCCTTCTGCAATTCTCAGAATCACTTTTCCTGCAGCCCGCTAGTTTATGTCTGCGTGAGACTTCTTGTCTTCTGGTCTGTTGGGAAACTGTCTTTACAAAAATAGTTCTACTAAAATTTTAATACTGATTTTAATATCAATTAGCTCTAAAAGTTGAGGGGCCGCACTTTGTGGCTATGGGGGCCGCATGTTTTACACGGCTGTTCTACATATTCTTCGCCTTTGTATCAAAAGTCACGAGCATCCACGTTGTCCCAAAGGGGAATATCAATTTTTTGTAAAACTTTTTTATCTTAATGTTACAGTACATCTTACGTTCATGTTATTATTTAAAGCACAATAGATCATTGAAGGTCGCAATGCGGCGGTCGGCTTTTATGGCCCACACCTTACATACATGTTATTATTTATGAAAATAAATGTTTTACAAATATTTCAATTTTTAGTGCGATTGGGGTCAAATGGTTCGCCGGTCATGATGCTACGCCATATTATTTATTTTGTGCCCCCATGAAGTTCATCATTCCGTATCTAAAATACGTATGAACTGTGTCATTTTCGCGACTATTCACGACCGTTCACGAACTTCACGACTGTTCACGACTTTGCAGAGATGAGAACATAGCCGAATTTCATTAGGTGGCTAATCTTCCATCCAATTGGTGCTAGTGGTATTTTTGCAGGTTGGTAGATCCCGGATCCTAGATATAACTGTGGAAGAAAATGGCGGCAAGGCTGGTTAGGTTGGGGTCTGCGGTGCAAAATAACACCAGCCTGTTTAAAGTACGTACCACATATTTCTTAGTTTGTGTTGATTTTATTATAATTGCCTATTATTTGCTAAGCAATGATACTTGCGTTGTCACATTTGCTTGAATGTGGGCAGTTCCCACAAGTTAATTGCTCAGTTATCAGTACATGTATTGTATTTGATATTTTCATATTGGCTTTACCGTACATTCCCCCCCCCCTCGAGGCCAATTTTTGTTTTGCAGAAGTTACACATAAATTAAGGTTTTGAACGTAGTCACGTGTTGTATTTCGTGCCAGAAATTGTTAGTAACATTCTGTGTCACGAATATTTTCTCAACATTCAAAATCTGGTTTTGGGTTGTGATCAATTACTGTTAAATTCGAGTACACGGAGGTAATCGGGATACAGCGGCCGGTGGGCACCTGTCCTTTGTAATTTTTGGATTTTATTTTTCTTAAATGACGCACTCCAAAGACCTTGATATGTGTTTTTAATATAGAAGGTACAGTGTTGGTAGGGAAGTTAGGATTTGTTTCTCTAGTGCCTCCACAAACTTGAATTTTACCTTTGTTATAATTTGCACTAACAGTTTTCTTTTCGTGAAGGGCCTGTGTAAATGGCAGTCAACAGCTGCTGAAGCTTATAAACATAAGCTGATAAATGTTCCTCCAACCCTAGTGACTGTTTTGAAAAGTGGGCTGCGTGTGGCATCTGAAGATAGTGGTGCGGCAACTGCCACAGTAGGGATTTGGATTGATGCTGGGTCAAGATATGAGGATGATAGGAATAATGGAGTTGCCCATTTTCTGGAACATATGGCTTTCAAGGTGAGGTTTATTATTATGAAATTACATCTTAATTAACAGACATCCTTAGTGTAGCAGTCAGTGTCAGTTTAGAGAAGTCACATATAGAGCAGTTGGTATAGTGACTGGCTATGGGCTGGATGACTGAGGGGTCAGAGTTTGAGCCCAGGTGAAGGAAAGAATTTCTGCTTCTCCACTTTGTCCAGACTGACTATGGGGCCCACCCAACCTCCTATCCAGTGGGTACCAGGGCCTCTTCCCCAGGGGTAAAGTGGCCAAGCCATGAAGCGGACCACACATAAAACTAGTGCTGAGGTCAAGAAAACTTAGTTCTATACATCCGCTCACCAATATACTTTCATGGCATAATGCTTGATTAGTTAAGTACATTGACAAGTTTACCTTTTATGTTTACATTTCAGTTTATTGAAAATGAAGTTTAATATGTTGAGTTGCTTGGGCCGTAGGAGCAAGGGAACGTGGTTATTTGTATACAAAGTGTAACAAGTTTCCAGAAGCATGTACTGAATGTACAGAGGCTTCACCAGGCTACTGAATCAAGTTTTCCGTACCGTGAGTGAACATGCAAACAGTATCCAAACATGACTTATTCCACAGATGAATGAGCAGAGATGCTGTTAGCTGCATTACTGTGTACTTGCTACTGTTGTTTGTGTTACACAGCTATCACTGCATATTCAAATGGCTCATTAATACCTATTATTTCTGTTTGTGTTGTCAGAAGTTCATTCTGATTTTTGATTTGTGTTCTCATTTACAGNAAAACTTTGAACAATTAATATTTGTAATTAATGTATTAGTAATTGTTGATTTGAGGTGGTGAAAAATACACTTGAACAGGAGAGTTTTTTGTGTAACATCTCTGAGAAATATCGATCATGTATGTACAGAAAATTCTGCTGTTCAAGTGTATTTTTCACTACCTGGACAGCAGAATTTTTGGTCACTGGATTTTCATTTGACCTAATTCTTCTAGCCACACTTTGACCACGAGGTCAACTCAGCCTCTATGAAATGAGTACCAGGAATCCCTGGGGGGGGGATGAAGGGCAGTTGGCATGTGAGGCTGACAGCCTCGCTGCCATCTGCGAGCCAAATTTCTAGGAAATGGGGAGCCTCAACATCTTAGAACACTATGGGCTTCCATAGCCTGTTACAAGGATAGTTTTACCTTTATGTAGATCATTGTCTTATAAAATTAGGTTTTGCCATACGTATTCTGGTGTTGAGTTCCAGCTTTATCAGTTTTTTTTATTTGGTCGATCCTTCTTAGGCACACTATGGTCTGCCCCACACAACCTGAGAGATGAAGTAAACAGGTTGGTGAGGGAGGGTACATCAGATATAACAGAAGCTTATACCCCATCAGATAAAATTGCACAAATGTTTTTCATCTTAACTCTTTGACTGGCGCGGGCATGTTTTAATGCCCGGATGATGCCAGCCGTTCCCTGGCGTCGGCGTGTTTTAGTGCTTTGACAATCTCTTCCCTTCTTTGGTCTCTTCGCACTCATCAACCAAAGACATATATATGATAGTTTTTGTGCATGGTTGTAAAGAATCCTTGTAAACTTCGTGGGGGTCTGTATTATTGTCAGAACCCTCTGAGAAGGCAAAGGTCTGAAAATATTTCACATTCATTCAGTTTCACCATGGCTTCTCGCAGCAAGTGTCGGCGTGTTCCTACAGACCAGCTGTAAAGTGTTGTGAACGAGATTTGTGCTGATGATGATAGTGGTGATGAAATAATGATTCCTGAATTAGATGAAATTGATAGTGACAATAATACAGTGATATACAATGATCCACAAGACAGTAATCATGAACATTTACCTACCACGAGTGCGGTGCCTGAGACGCCCATCTCATGGACGTAGGGAGACATTGTACCAACAATAGTTCCATTTACTAGTAGTTTGGGGATCAAAATTGATATAACACATAAAATGCATCCCTTTTCATGGATTAAAATTTTTTCTGGATGACGACTTAGTAAATCACATCACAACTGAAACCAATCGCTATGCTCACCGGCACTTCAACACACATGAGTTAGCTCCTCACTCTCAAAACACAATTACAAATATGTCACACCAGATGAAATGTGGACATACTTAGGAATTGTGTTCATGACAGGAATCAACAAACGCCCTGAAATTGAAGCATATTGGTCCAATAAGCCCCTATTTCACACTCCATGGTATGGACAAAACATGTCTTTGTGGTTGAATAGTTTCATTCTATTAAAAAAGAACACAACAAACGAAAAACACAAGAAGAGAAATTACAAATTCAAAGATTTTATATTGGACTGTGTAGAAAAATGACTGAACCAAACAAACAGTGTGGAGAGGGAGAAGAGTGAAGGAATGAATACAAATCTATTGTGTCAGACTCGAGTGCAGTCACGCCTCTGCCCACGACCTTGAAAAGACCACCAGTGAAAGAGCCAGCAAATCATCTAGAGGGTGGCCTGATAATTCACAAAATGGTCCATGTTCCTCCCAGTAACAATAAGAAGAATGGTGCCCTGAGAAAGTGTCGCGTGAGTGCTAAGCACAAGATTAGAAAAGAAACAAGTGTCATGTGTGCAGGCTGTGGTGTGGCTCTCTGCAAACTTTCATGTTTCAATGTTTATCACACGAAGAAAAACTAGTAAAGAGGTATGGAAAGGCATTTATTGCATAAAATAATGTCTTTTTATTAGTTCCTGAAAACCTCGTTTTTAAAAACCAATTTTTGTTAAAGTTGTTTAGAAAAGAAGTAACTACATGCATTTTAGTGACATAAGGTTTAAAGAGCCTGCCAGGACAGGGGTGGGATTTAAATACCCTTTGCGCCAGTCAAAGAGTTAATGTGTATTTATGGAAAATTGAATTAAGAAAATACAGTAGTCTGTTTTATTGTCAGTAAATGCAGCAGGAGTTTACTTATATTCAGAATAACTAAGGAACTATTAATAACATTGTAGTGAATCCTTGAGAAGCTTCCAGTCACTCAGCTACTCGAGAATTTCCCAAGATTTTGTGGAGGCAAAATTTTCATTACTGTATTCATGAGGGCCCACCACTGATACCTACCCTGAGGCAGATGAGTGCAGTCCATATCACTCCATCCTATCTCTTTTAAGATCTGTGAGGTCCATTTTAATATTATCCTCTTCTTTCTAGGTCTTCAAAATGGTTGCTTTCCTTCTGGCTTTCCCACCAGAATCCTATGTGCATTTGCCTTCTCCCCTGTGTGTACTGCAGTATGTGTTCATCTCATCCTTGATTATTCTTGGCGAAGGGTACAAGTTATGAAGTTCCTCATTTTGCAGTTTCCTCCAACCTGCTGTGAAACAGCAGTTTACAGCAGTTTGACATAACAGATGAACTGCTGGTCACATTTTTTTCATTCATTGGATACTGAAAAAGAATGGCAGTACAACGAAACAGTACATCAGCTACTTCTTTTGGTTTATTTTGGACTTCACCCATCGTCTGGTATGTGAAAGACAAAAAACCACAACATTTCCGAGACTGGATCTGTCTCCGTCTTCAGGTGGATAAGGAAGGATAAACCTACTTAGTTGGGCCCCTTAGAAAGAGCTACTCTCAATCACTGGACTAGCTCTTTCTAAGGGGCCCAACTGAGTAGGTTTATCCTTCCCTATCCACCTGAAGACGGAGACAGATCCAGTCTCCGAAACGTCGTGGTTTTTTGTCTTTCACATACCAGATGATGGGTGAAGTCCAAAATAAACCAAAAGAAGTAGTGTATACACCATCGTCAGAATCCTTTCAAGTCTATCTGAGTACATCAGCTGTTTATAGGCTTCAAGAACATGTATAATTCAGTTAGGAGGGAAGTATTACGCAGCATTCTTATAGAGTTTGAGGTACGCATGAAAATAGGCTGATTATAAATGAAACCTATAGTAAAATTGGTGTAGGTGAACGTTTGTCTAATAATTTTCCAGTCCAAAATGGTCTGAAACAAAGAAGCGCTTTGTTGCCATTGCTTTTCAACATTGCTTTCGATCATGCCATTAGGAAGGTCCAGGAAAACCAAGTGGGACTGAAATTTAATGGAACACATAAGCTTCTTGTCTACACTGATGATGTATGTCAATTGGGAGGTAACATTTACCATAAAGAAAACATAGAAACTAATGATGCTAGTAAGGAGGTTTGTCTAGAAGTAAATGCAGAGAAAACTAAGTATGTGTTTCTGTCTCATCATCAGAATGGGATGGAGGACAAAATCATAACATAAAGATAGCCAAAATTCTTTGAAAATGTGGCCGGGTTAAAATATTTGGATATGACAATAACAAATCAAAATTTGATGCATGAGTAGATTGAGAGTTGATTGAATTTGGGTAATGCTTGCTACCATTCAGTCCAGAACCTTTTGTCTTCTCATCTGCTGTCCAAAAACAAAAATTAGAATATACAAAACTATAATTTTGCCTGTGGTTCTGTATGTGTGTGAATCTTGGTCTCTGACATTAAAGGATGGACATAGCCTGTGGATGTTTGAGAACAAAGTGCTGAGGAGGATATTTGGACCAAAGAGAAATCACATGACCAAAGGCTGTTGAAAACTGCATAATGAGGAGCTTGTTAGCTTGTACTCTTTGCCAAGTGTAATTATAATGGTCATCTGAAGGAAGATGAGATGGGCAGGGCATATAGTACAATTGGGGGAGAAGAGGAATGTATATAAGATACTGGAGGGAAAGCCAGAAGAAAAGCGACCATTAGGAAGACAAAGAGATAGGTGGGTGGATAATAATAAACTGTATCTTAGAGTGATAGGGTGGGATGGTATTGACTGAAATGATCTGGCTAATGATCTGATGGCTGCAATAGCACAGCATACTCATGCTGCTTATAACAGTACTGTATAGACAAGGCTGTAGTAAATAAAATCTTGAAGGCACATACTAAGATTGCCACCCTACCATTGTTCCTTAAACCCCATAGATCTTGTGTGGAGTAAGGTCAAGGGGTGTA